TCTCTATATCTTTATCTAAAGCTTTGATGTATGTTGTCATCAATTACCAAAAAGGGGGAGATTGAAAGAATAAGTGCTCCCTAGGTGATTTTGGTAATTAATGTCAATATATCTCTTATTGGACGAATACTTTCATCAAGTATATTTCAGATAATCCCAACAGTGGAGTGGCATGGACAAGAGGATGTGGAACCCCTTCAGGATGCTAAGGACAAAGGATTGGCTCAAGCTCAAAGCTCAGGACTCTACATCTTCTATTTTCAGTGATACAAGATCACATTGAGTGTATAGGAAAGCCAATACTATTAAAAGGGGATGAGGTGTTGCCTAATGGCTTGCTTGCTCAAAGTGCTTAGTGATATGCTCCAAAGCCCTCAACCATTTTCTCATATCCACATATGTCCCAAACCAAAAGTCAAACACGGCCCCACCGATTTGATCCATCAGGCGCCACCGAGTTCGTTTGACATAGCCACTGCCAAAAACCCTAATCAATTTGGTCACACCGATGGTATCTGGTCTCACCGAGATGGGCTTGCAATCTCTCTGTTGTCTATTACAACATTTTGGTCCCATCGAGTAGTGTAATCGGCCACACCGAGTTTGTGTGACCAACTCTCTATTTTACTTATTACCAAATCGGTCTCACTGAGTTGTGTAATCGGTCAAATTGAGATGAGGTTTTACCCTAACCCTTGCACATCGGTCCCACCGAGTTGATCATGTCGGTCCCACCGAAATTGCCTAATGGTCACATATGTACTAAATCGGTCCGACCGAGTTTTTTGATTCAGTCGCATCGAGTTTGGTATAATGTGTGTAACAGTTAGATTTTGTGTGGAGGCTATATATACCCCTCCACCCTCTCCTCATTCGTGAGGGAAGCCATCAGATCGTGCCTACACTTCCACTACCCATTTTTTGAGAGAGAGCCACCTACTCATGTGTTGAGACCAAGATATTCCAATCCAACCATATGAATCTTGATCTCTAGCCTTCCCCAAGTTGCTTTCCACTCAAATCATCTTTCCACCAAATCCAATCCTATGAGAGTGAGTTGAGTGTTGGGGAGACTATCATTTGAAGCACAAGAGCAAGGAGTTCATCATCAACACACCATCTATTACCTTTTGGAGAGTGGTGTCTGCTAGATTGGTTAGGTGTCACTTGGGAGCCTCGGACAAGATTGTGGGGTGAACCAAGGAGTTTGTATGGGCAAGGAGATCACCTACTTCATGAAGATCTACCCTAGTGAGGCAAGTCCTTCGTGGGCGATGGCCATGGTGGGATAGACAAGGTTGCTTCTTCGTGGACCCTTCATGGGTGGAGCCCTCTGTGGACTCGCGTAGCCGTTACCCTTCGTGGGTTGAAGTCTCCATCAATGTGGATGTACGATAGCACCACCTATCAGAACCACGACAAAAACACCCGTGTCTCCAATTGCGTTTGCACACTCCAATCCCATCCCTTTACTTTCTTGCAAGTTGCATGCTTTACTTTCCGCTGCCCATATACTCTTTGCATGCTTGCTTGATTTGTATTGTGAATGGTTAAACTTCTGCTTAAACTCCACCTAAACTTGAAAAACTTAAAAACTGCCAACTTTGTGTGTTAAGGGTCTATTCAGCCCCCTCTAGACACCTCTTCTCGATCCTTTTAGTTTGAAAGTATTGCTAAAGCACATCTAGATGTGCTCTAAGTAATGCACATCTCGGTCCTATGCCATTGATGTTACGCGAAGATTCATGCAGATATTTTCCTTTGTCCTTTTCTTTTCCTTTCTAGTTTGGTTATTACTGGCTTTATCAATAATAAGAGCTTAATGTATTGCTTGCCAACTGTCCTACTCCGTTCATACTGTTACCGGTGCATAATCCCAAAACCCGTTCCTTGTTTTTGTCCTGAAAAAGGATACCAGCCAAATAGCCAATAGGAGTCCTGCGCAACCCCAGGAATTTGGAGTGACTGGGTACAAATAATTGCGGTTAGATAATACGTCAACCCCCGCTTCAATTGGCAGTTCCTCTTCTCTGCATACCTCTAAGTGTCCACCATCTTCATCGTCCCCGGCAGGCCGCGCTACATAGTGGCACACACTCTGTAGCCATGTCGAGCGACAGGGAGGACGACAGTTCGGCCAGTAGTCTGGCGCCCGATGAGAGGTTAACATCGGAATCATCCCGCTCGTCTTCCATGAGTCCGACGTCGAGCCCAGACCTCGATTATATCCGGTTCATGGAAGGGACGCCACCTCCGGAGTTGTCAGACAACAACTAGCCGGATGAGGAGCTGTTGGAGGACGAAGAAGAGGACGACGATGAGGAGGAGGAGGATGACGACAGCAACGACGATGACGACAGCGGTGGCGATGAAAAGCCAACGGTCAGCGACAAAAAGCGTCCTCGCCAAGACGATGTCGTGGGGCCATCCAACAACAACAACAACAAGAAGGACTAAATTAAGCAGACTGTATATATCTTTATTTATCCTGTCAATCTCATCGCAGACGATTAGTAGTATGTATTCGACAGAGATCTTCTACATTATCGCCCATAGGTTGGTTTGTTGAACTGTGTGCCCTGACAAACACACAATTCACAAAAAAGACCATATGGGCTGTCTATAATGATCGCACACAATTCTGATTACCGACTTGTTTGCCGGGTATCACACACATCTTGTTATGCCGAATCGTTTGTGTTCACCTCAATCATCGCAAACGGTTCATCGGAGCAAACTATATGTCGTATATTGCACACACCTTGATCTGGCTGCCCGTTTTCTGTTGTTCTGTCTCATCGCAAACTGTTCGTGCAGACCAACCGTATGCGCCTCATCGCACATGCAACTAAAATCTGAACCGTGTGATATGCATTCGTCATCGCAAACCTTTTGCCCATTTTTGACGGTTTTCTTGCACCATCGTTTGCGATTATTGCATTGCACACAGTTTCTTGAAGGGTATCTCATCGTAGTGTCGCGTTAGCAGCATCCTGCAGTAGTGCATGTTAAAGATCTTTATGCACATGATCCTATGTTTGCGACTCATTATGCCAAATGTCTTGCTAACACTGGTCGGGAGAACTATTATCTCAACAATGGCTACCTTATGCACACTAACAAGCTTTGTATACCGAAGTCTTCGCTTCATTTGCTACTTTCGCAATAGGCCCACGACAGAGGACTTTTGGGATATTTCAGGCGCGACAAGACCTTTGCCACACTCTCCTTCAAGTACTTTTGTCCAAAGATGTTCCGCAACGTGGCACGATTCATCAACAAATGCTCTACATGCCGCAAAGCTAAGTCACAATCTCAATCTCATGGTTTAGATATGCCACTACCAATTCTGTATCAACCATGGGAAGATATTAGTATGGATTTGGTGCTTGGTTTGCCTAGGACTCAAAAAATGGAAAGGATTCCATATTTGTTGTTGTGGACCGATTCTCAAAAATGGCACATTTCATCCCATGTAATAAGATAGACGATGCTTCACATGTTGCAAATCTCTTTTGTCGGGATCTTGAGGTTGCATGGAGTGTCAAGGACCATTGTGTCGGACCGCGACGTCAAGTTCCTAAGCTACTTTTGGAAGACAATATGCGCCAAGCTCGGCATCAAGCTACTATTCTCGACGGCCTATCATCCCCAAACCGATGGCTAAAGGGAAGTCACCAACCGGACGCTATCTACTCTCTTACGCGTGTTGATAAAGAAGAACATCAAGGAGTGAGGGGGGATGTTTACCCATCGCCGAGTACGCCTACAATCGAGCTCGGCACTCTACTACCGGCAAGTCCCCCTTCGAGGTTGTCTACGTCTTGAACCCATTGTCCCCATTGGACATTCTACCTCTTCCGCTCCAAGAACACGCAAACATGGATGCAAGTGCAAGGGCAAGCTTTCTCAAGAAGATACATGAAGATACAAGGGCAACGATCGAGCGTCAAGTACATCACATTGTCACCAAGCTCAACATCAACAAGACACCAATGGTGTTCCAACCAAGAGATCTTGTATGGCTTCATCTTCGCAAGGACCGCTTCCGCAACGAGCGCAAGTCCAAGCTACTACCACCAGCCGATGGACTCTTCAAGGTGCTAGCACGCTACAACGACAACGCCTACAAGATCGACATCCCACGCTACAAGTACAACGTAAGAGACAAGTGAATTCCTCTTTGTGTTCTTGGTGTTCATCCCTCTTTCCCCTCCAAGTGTGAAAAGATCCATCTTAGGGTTTCACCCTACAACAGAACGTTTCCTCCTAGTGACGCACGTTGCTGGAAGGCCTGAAATAAATCTGGAAAAATGCGAACACCAATGTAAGTCTAAAACTTGAACTCTGTTGGGTTAGAGATATCACTGTCCTCCTAACCATCCAATTACATGTTGGTTTGGCATAAATCTTTTTTTTATCTATATGAAATGACAGTGCCGTCGTCTAACAAAAGATGCTAGCTCAAGTGAAGTGCATGAACATGCTCTCAAAATTAATGGCCCATTTATATATTTATATCAATGTCCCTTTACCTTTATTTCTACTAGTCTTAAATTATCACAAATAATAAGTACCACATGTGTGGCACAATGCGCTCCAGCCTGACGTTTTTTACAACTAAAGTTGTCATTTAAAAGAAAACTTACCATTCGAAAAGAAAGTTGTCATGCTTGACCATTAAAGTTATCATACTCGCATCAATAAATTTGCCATGAAAATATTCAGAGTTGCTATGTGTTTGACCATTAAAGTTGGTCATACTTGCATCACTAAACGAAGAAAGTGTCAACAAATAATTTTGTGAACATTCATGGAGGGTCAATATCATGAGTTGGCGAGGAAGAAACAATAACAGAAGCTAAAATATAAACCGACACCCTGGGTTTAGATTACTAGATACACACACAAACACACATTGTTGCCTCGATTGTTTCCTCTCCAACGATCAACCCACGTACGCATGCACACAAGATGAGCATCTTCACTTCTGCTCTGCTCTAGTTAGACTCGAGCTGCGCGTACCACACACCCTGGATCTTGACATCCTTGGGCGCCTTGGCGCCGAGGTCGGTGTCTGACGGCTGCACGCTCTCGAAGACGCCGATCACCTCGCCGGTCTCCGGCTTGCTCTTGGTCACGCTGAGCGTGATGTTGCCTGTGGAGGAGGACGCGTTCTTCACGTTCTCCTTGGCCAACTCCTCCTCGTCTCCTCTGCCTCCGGCGGGTAGCGCCACGGCGTTGTCGTAGCCAGTAGAGCCACCACGGCCCTTTGGGTCGAGGAAAGACGAACCCCTGTAGCTGGGCACAAGGAAGGGCCCGCTGAAGCTCTCGGGCTTGCCGGTGGCGACGAGCTGCTTGACGGTGAAGAGGAAGGGCACGCGCTCGCCTCCGGGGAGCTGCACGGTGACGGCCGCATAGTCGATGCCGTCCTTCTCCTCGAACTTGAGGGTGCCGTCGGCGCCGACCTCGAGCGGGCCTTCCATCTCGTCAAGGGTGTAGGTGAGACGGGTCATGAGCTTGGTCTTCTGGAAGGCCGGCGGCTCGTTCTTCTGGATGCCCTCGGCCTTGACGGTGAAGGAGGTGGGCTCCAGGCAGAACTTCTTCATCTCGTACTTGCCGGCCTTGAAGGGGAAGGAGTCGACGCCGCCGTCGATGGTCGGGCACTGGTTCGCGGTGCCGGTACCCTTCACCTCCATGTAGGTCTTGCTCTGGATCTCGTCGAAGGTCAGCCTCTTGGGCGCCCCCTCCGCGCTCGCGCCCTGCACCCACGCGCGTCACTCTAGCTAGCTGGACTGGAGTGGAGTAAACGGCCACGGACGGCAATAGAACGGATTAGTCAGCTTACGGAGACGAGGAGGGCAGAGGTGGCGAGGGCGAAGCCGGCCATCTTGGCGGCGTCGGCGCACTTGCTTGCGACCTCCCTGATGTCGGACTGCAGGGAGCAGGTGATCCTGGCGCCAGCGTCGACGCCGAACGCCCGGGCGACGTGCGACGACGGCCGCGCGGAGGAGGCCCGGCCGCCGATCTTGGCCGGCATCAGCGTAGCCGCGGCTTGGAGAGACGCTGCCATGTTGGTCGGTGGCTTGGCACGCGGGAGGATCGATCCCACTCGTGGTTGAGAGGCGTGTTGTCAGGGCAGGCAAGTGTTATCTATGCGAGGCGCGGATAAGAGACGGCCTCCCATTGGTGGCTTCCGGATAAGAGTATCCATTTGTTCCCATGCACGCATACGCACCAGCCAGTCATTCCCCCTCTGCCGATCCAGCACCAGTCACAAGGTTGGGCCGCGCCCAGAGCGCGCGCCGGCGCACTTGGCCCGTCGCTATCACCGTCCTTACATCCCGTACTCATCATTGTCAGCTCACCAGCTGCGAAGCCGCTATTGTGCCACGCACCAGCGCACCAGCGCGCCACCTGCTCGGCACGGCCGAGGTGCAGTGATCTTTGCCGCCGCCCAGCACGACGCACAGCGTGTTCCCTTAATCCATGAATGCACATCCGCCATGAACGCCACTGTGCGGAACCGCCCATGCCGCCGGCCTGGCTTTAGGACCTCCATCCTCAGTCTGTGCTCTGAACAGCCTGGCTTTAGTGACGCAATCGGCAAAATTGACAATTTTGACATGTGGACGCAATGAATTCACGAAATGAACCGAGCGTAAAACTATTTCACGCGCTTGACCTTTTCGTGTAGCGTTCGACACGCAGCCGCCACACCCTACGGTGCAGCGCCCACCTCTGGGGCGTTGCACACCTGTCCACCGTGGCAGCCCTGGGCCCGCACCAAAGCAGTGCAGCACCTCTGAGCTAGGCGCCACAGTTGTAATGTGCAGCGGCTAGCCCTTAGGCGCTGCACTGTCTGTTACTAATTGCCCAGGCCCCCCTCCCCCACTCCCCCCACACACACCCCCACCCCACACACAGCTCACCCGAGATCTGCCCCCTCTCTCCCCCTCTCAAATCCTTTCCAAACCCTACAAATCTGAAGATTTTGTTCGTGGATTTCGAACTCCTTCGCTCGCTGAAGGTAATCTTCTCCGATCCCTTTCTTTTGATCCAAGTAATGTTAACAAATTGGTCATTTGTTGCTAGTTTGGGGGAACCCTGGTTTTGTATGGATCTAGAGATTTGCATCGATATGTGAGATGCTTGTTTGCCAATTTCCTATGATTAGACTTGTTAGTATGTTAGGGTTATGGTTAGAGTTAGGGTTATGGTTAGGGTTATGGTTGTTGTTTCATATATATGTTGGTGCTAGGGTTAGGGTTAGGCTTATGGTTGTTGTTTCATATATATGTTAGGGTTTCTATTCCGTGTTAATCTTTGGATTAGTACTCATGGAAGAAATGTTACGTTGTGTTGTTTGAATGCTTATAGGGATGGGTAGAACATGTGTGTTCGTTCATCATGGGGACAAAGACGCCTTCTTAAAAGGCAATATTGAACCGGACCCGGATGAGGTTGACATGGTGTTTGATAATAGTCCTAGCTATCCGGAGCTTTTGCAACAAGTGAGGAAAGATTTAAATTGGATGGACCCTAGTGATATTATTGAGTTGGAGGGAAGGCATAATGTAGGTTTTGGAATGCACCTTCGTTGGAAGACAATGCATGTCAACTCGGAGCAACGTTGGGTTGCATACAAGGAGACGGTGGCCGAATCACTAGACAAGGCTTTGAAGTTATTTGCAACGAAGAAGGTTGATTCAAGTTTGCATTTGGACTTGAACCGGAACCCCTCCCCTTTGGTTGCTAGTAGCCCCCACCCTTGAACCGAGATGAAATTGTTGAACCTCATATGACCCAAGAAGTGAGGCCAACATTGAGCCCTTTTCCAATACAAATAAACTAAACTAGGCCTACTTCATACAAATAACTTTTCCATAATAAAAACATGCCGATCTATGTATCCAACCATATCTTTTCAATAAACTAAACTAAACTAGGGTTCCACAAATCAAACAAACAAGGGTTGTAATACATGCAAAATTCTAATACATGCAAGATTCAAATCTAATCAAATGAAACAAGGGTTCCCCAAATCTTCAAAATACCATATTTTCTATGGATAGAAAGTAGGGGATCGGAGGAGAGTACCTTCTAGGATGGATTGGTCTAGAAATCCACGGACCAAATCGTCGGATCTGAAGGATTTGGGAGAGGGGATGAGAAGGGGAGAGGAGGAAGCCGCCGCCGCGCCTGTTCTGTAACCCCCTCCTGGAACGAATGGGTGGGTGGGGGGGAGCGGGCGGCTAGCATCTAAGTCATAGTGCATCGCCTATGGGCTAGGCGCTGCACATTACAAGTGTGGCACCTAGCTCGGAGGCGCTGCACTGCTTGGGTGCGGGCCCAGGGCTGCCACGATGGACAGATGTGCAACGCCCCAGAGGTGGCGCTGCACCGTAGGGTGTGGCGCCTGCGTGTCAGGCGCTACACGAAAAGGTCAGGCCTGTGAAATAGTTTTACGACCACTTCATTTCGTGAATTCATTGCGTCCACAGGTCAAAATTGTCAATTTTGCCGGCGCAATCACCACGAACACCACGGCTACGCACTCATGGTCCGCAACAGCAATCAAATCGATCAATATACACAAACATTAAATCTTGCTGTATAGTTTCTCTTTCTCTCTCTGCCATCCGTCGCTGACGTGAGCCACCGGCGTCCCGCGCCAAGCCGCGGCACAGAGGGAAACTGAGCACATCAACCATCTACAACCATGGTAACGTAATTTGGTGCCCTCTATGCCCGTGGGAGTGTCGGGGCGTGTCCGCTGACAGTGCCCGGACAATATCCAATTTGCCCTCTCCACAACCACAACCATCAAATTCAGATACCCTATTTCATACAACACCATACGGTCTACGTAAATCATAGAGATAGCATAAAAACGTAAGCAATTCGGACATCGGAATGCAATTTGTTCATCCAAAAGGGTCGAGATAATTCAAAATCAAACTAAAACGAAAATAAAACAACTAGAATATAAATATACCAAGACACGCGGCTGGAGTTCACCACTTCGCCGGTCCTTGCCCTTACGGTCGCGGCATGGCGGTCCGTCTTCTTCGTTTAAACGTCAGCGGTAGGAGGGTCATCGTTGTCCATGGTGCCGCCGTTCTCCAATGCGGACAAAATGTAGCCGAAGAGGCGACGGAGGAGGCACTGTTGCTCCTTCGCATTACGGGCGGCCTTGGCGGTGGCGGTCTCCTTCTCCCGTGGGAAGCGCTCGGGTGCGAGTGCCTTAGCATTCTTGCATAGGAGGTGCCGCGCATTGGATTCCACCGTGGTCAGCGACAGCGACATGATCTCGCGGAGGAGTGCCTCCTCCGAGTCGACGGGGACGGAGCGCGCTTGTTTGCGGGAACAGCTGGCCTCCGCCGTGGCCGCCTTCGCCTCTGACTCCGGCATGAGCATTTGCACGAGAGCCGCGGGCACGAGTATCCACCGCTGCCTGGGCGGATCTGGACGTGCAGGCGCGGGACAGATGGGCGCGGCCCGCATTCCATCGGTGGTACATGGAGTAGCTAGTGGCGGATGCAACAGAGCTCAAGCTCCAGCTAATGTCCACGTGCGAGCAATGGCGATGTGGAGCGTGAGATCCTCCTCATCCGGCATGTCGCTGCTCGATCCGCCATCCACCTCCTTCATGAGTCCGTCCTAGTCCATGGGATCAGGTTCGCTGTCAGAGTCCTGACCGGAGTTGGCCATGGCGAGGGGAGGTGATGAATTTGGGAGGAAGCGGAGGCGACGAGGGAAGTGGAGAAGATGAGTGTGGAGTGAGAAAGTGAGGGTTTGACTAGGGTTCATTCGATGTGGTGGGTATTTGTGGGGGCATCATCAGGGGAGGGGGCTAGCGGGACAGTCCGATGTATTGGGAGTGCCAGTCAGTTCGGTCGTGTGGGCTGGATATGGGGAGCCCGGTTGGGTGGCATTTTTTTGCTCGGACACTGAACTGGCAGTCGTCGGGCGTTTGGGGCGGGTATGGGCCCCCGGTTGTAAATGCTCTAGCCAGCTAGGTTCCTACCTCTATTACTTAGTAAGGGCATCTCCAATGGTGACACCCAAAATGGACGCATCCGCAGGCGCGCACGATGATACGAGAGCAGGCCATTCAACCATGCCCGCATATATTTCAAACTGTATTTGAATGAACCAAACAAATTACACAGGAACTGGATAATTTTCATCTAAGCTGGAGCACATTCATTAATTTTCAACAAGTTTCATTAAAAAAGTGACCATACCTAAACCTAGACTAAATCTAAGACGATGCACGTCCTTTGAGTCTTTGTTATTCCCATTCATTCCCATGTCGGGCGCGGGTGTCCGTGTCCGATGGCCAGCTCAGCCCCATGGAGTAAAGGTGCGGCCACCGACAAGGAAGAGTAGGACATGGAACACGAACATGCTCACATGACTTGAGGCCTAACTGTCTCCCATGCCCTACTCCTTGTTGGAGTACACGACATGTCTGTCACCGGTGGATGTGAGGCCGATGATGTATGTGGATGGGCCGGCCTCGTTAATGTGCCCGTTCCATTGAAGCGTCATTGGTGGCGTGAATGACGCGCAACTATGTTCTAGTCCATGATCGCCAGCGCCGCCAGCACCGTCAACGTTTCCGACTATACTGTGACCGCATTACAGGCGGCACGCGGCCTCGTACAGCCCATGCTACTCGGAGATGAAGTTGGGGTTCCCCGCGGCCATGGCTACCACGACCTTCTTGCTCTCGAGCTCATCATAGATTTGGCCCTCTGCCAAGCTGTGTTGCTCAAGGTGAGAGAGGTCGTGTCACTACTCCTCATAGGCCGACGGAAACACCGACAATGGTTGTGGTGCCGGCTACTCCTCCGCCATGCTATTGTTGATTGAAGTGCACATGTGTTTGTCGGAATCAGGGATCCGGGGACCCTATTCGTAACTCTGGGGCACACTCGTTCGTGCCGCCCTATCCTACCTTGCAGCTAGCCACTGCGAAGCTACAATGAGAGTGAGCTAGCGAAAGCAGACCGAAGACACAACAGTTACCCAGGTTCGGTCCACCCTTGCGGTGTAAAACCCTAC